AACCTCGATCCTAAGAGGAATCTTACTTAGGCAGGTACGGTCTGTGGGAGAAGTAGTGCTTCCATTGCTGATGCAAATAGGTCTGGACGTGCCACGATGGAAGCCTGTCGGGAACTTTTCCCATGTCAGTAGCCACTCTGAATGCGTCTTTCTCCCCTGGTAGCCCCGAGGCAGATGCCTACGTGCTACCCAAGCGGCACGAGGAACCCCAACATCAACCCAGTCACACTGAAAACAATTAAAATACACAGGGATGAGGAGAAAAAAAATCTGCACTGTAATTTCAGTTATGGTTGGGTTTTTTTTTAAACACAGCTTTACACCTCTCATTATTTCCATAATGCAAAATGCAGCACATTTTATCATCCTCTGCAGTGACTGGACGTGTGCTGACTCGGGCAAGCTGGAAAGGTGGCTCTTCCTCCCTCCAGCTGTCCATCCTTTTAACCTTGGATAAGGGACCTCCCATCTGGAAGTGTTTTCCCCAAGTTATTCCCTCCGTGCTCTTTCACACACACACACACACACACAAAGGCCCAGTGAGTGTGAGAACTAAACTGCTGTCACCATGACACCGTAAGTAATAGATCTTTCTATACATTTCATGTCGTTCAGTGTGGCTAAAATCCACCCTCGTACTTTCTCCATCAAGCGCCCACAAACGAGCTAAGCAGACTGCAGATGTTTATTTAACAGGACAGGTCTGTGGTCCGATGTCCTTTCAGGCCAGGGCAGGGCTTATATACTGACCTCTAGGCGTGCTCAGAACATGCAAAACCTTCACAGATCCCGGATCAACCCAGCAACGGATCCAGCTGTACCCTCACCTCCGCACCCAGCCCCAGTGAAACTGGGAGGGCACCACATCAGCATGAACCTTCTGCAAGACTGCTGCTGTGCAGAGGCCAAGGGGAGAAAAGCAAACTACAGAGGATGGTCTTCAGTAGGGGCAAAAACCTGCAGGCAGCTTCAGGTCAATGCACAGCCCTACCAACGGCCGGGTTGGGACTCGGGCGCTGTGTTGGATCTCCAAGCACGTGTATCCGAGCCTCTACTCCGCAGGCTCTGGGCTGTGCTGGCCCAGTCTGATTTAGCCCTCTTCAGCTGCAATGGTGTCTGCTCACCAGCAGCGCTCACCTCTAGGACCCCAAGTGCAAATGAACGGCATCTTCTTTGCAACTGGCCATAGGACGTCCTGATACGGCACAGGGGTTGAACAGGCCTTTGTGCTGCTCTCCAGTCCTTCTTCCTTCTAAACACGCGTTAAAAGGATTGCACTGCTTCATACAGTGGATTTCCTCATCACACAATAAAACAAATTCACCTCTGAAGTGCCCCGATAAAGGTTTTCCAACAGCTGAAAGTCAACTTTCTCTACCAGAGGTGGTGTTTGGGGGGTTGGGTTTTTTCTTTGTTTGTGGGTTGTTTTTTCTTTTGTGAGGTGCTGTTTGGGGGGTTTTGGGGTGGGTTTTTTTTGTTGGGTTTGGGTTTGTTTTTTTTTTTGATTGGTTTTGTTTGGGGATTTGTCGTTCAGTTTTTTTTCTGGTTTCACTGTTTTTTTTAAGAGGTAGGTTGATTAATGACCATTTATTTCTGAAAACTAATCTCTGGGTTGGATTCAACTTCCAGCTGGTGCCTGTCAAGAGGCTATAGTTCTGTAGGGGTGCAGTCATTCCAGAGAAGACTAAGGACTGATTTAAAGCACTTCATTCTCCATGTGGAGAAGTATCCGTATCCAAGTATCCGTAGTTAAGTAAAAGTGAGTCCTAAAATTCTATTCATGCACTGAGCAGTGCAAGCAATAAGCAGTATTTCCAGACATGTTAAGCAGTATTAGTTTTCTAGACAAAACCACATTCAAGAACTGTCCTAACGCTCCTCCACTCTGACACCAGCTTGAGGGAGGGTGGGAGAACCGTCCTTGCCCTGCATACCTCCGGGGTACGTGCACATTGCATAGCACTGTGTCACTGCAATCTGTATGTTTTAGATTTTAAGTGTTCGTTTCAGAGCTGAATGTATGGAAGCTCTTGAATTACAAAGAGAATTATTATTATTGCAAACCTGACTACAGCTACAGTTGGTGTTCTTGGAAGATGAGGGTGCAAGTAACAAGAAGCTAACAAAGTCATGCCAGTAAGTCAAGTTTAATTTGCTTTCCTTTTCCCCTCCCTTCTAAAGCTGGCTGAAATACAAGTTCCACTGTAAATGCAGTGACTAGCAAACATGGATGCCATCACAAATACAGCGCTGCCAAGAGGAAGTCCTCCGTTGACTAATAACAGAGTTTCCAATAGCAACTGCAAAATATTCTGGGCACTGAACTGAAGAGATTTACGGATATATTCTAAACAAGATGTGCTTTTCGCAGCTACAGAATATGAATTGTATAACATTTGGACAAAAGGTTTTTAAGAACTTACCAGTAACTTGTATTACAAAGGCAGAATTGGAGGTTTTGCTGGCTCTTCAATGACCTTTCCTTCAACAGATCACACTAAGCTCTCCCTATCAAGCCTATTATCAAAGTACGGCTGCAAAAAATAAAGACGCAAGTCATGGCAACACAGTTTGGCATTGTAAAGGTCTCAAGTTTTTGCTGTCGACTTAAACAATATAAAACCAGCCTTTTATTTTGGAAAGAGGAGACTACATGCTTGATAATAATATTTTTGTGCAGCATTTGTCACTGTCAGAGTACAATACAGAACATAATCAAGTTCATTTGTTAACTAAGTAACCCATTCTTTGAAAACCTATTCTTTAATCCAAGACAGCAGTGACATATTACAAAACCATTTACTAGAACTGGAAAATTACTTTTATAAAGCCCACATTATATGACAGCTTCTCTTCTGTATCCTTTGCTTGCTGAGATTGCAGGACATTTCATACAGTTACTTCCCCTGCAGATGCAGGATTTTTCTTTTTTTTTTTTTTTCATTTGAATATGGAAAAAACCCTGAATTTCCACTGCAATTGAATAATTCTATCAAAGACTGCCCATGCATTTTCATAGGAGTAATTTATTTTATCATTAAAATAAATACAAATTTGTCAGAAATATTTGCTAGGTCAATTTATAAGCTTAACTATGTGGGAATTATACCAAAATCAGAAAAAAAAAGCACAAATCAGAGTGCTAAATAGTAATTTCAAAAAGATATTAAGCAGTAGTGAAAACTAGAAGGCTCTAAGAAGCCAAATGAGATTAAATTTGTCATCAAATCACTTAGAAGAAGAAAGAGAACAAACTAACTTCCTTACAAAGAAACACATACACTATATGGCCAAGTCTGACACTTTTATGTTAAAAGTTGCCTCTGAATAAAACATTATATACAACACTTTCCAGCAGCACAGATGCCTGCCGCACGAGAATACCGCACTGCTGTTTTTTAATACCTTGGAGGTAAAATGTTATGCACTGATAAGTAATTTTAGTCTACAGTACAGTTTCCCACCAATTTTAATTTTATAATGTAACCAGGTTATTTGAGACATAGGTAAAATAAAGACTAATGAAGGTTTAAAACTCTAGATGGCACACTCATACAGTAAAAGACTATAAATCTGAACGGAAAACCAGAGGTTCACCTACGGTAATTTCTTGGTTCTCCACCTGAAACATACATAATCTACCTGCGAATACTGTTCTGAGGTCAGTTTGTGAATTACTACTATAAAAGGATCTGCACTATGTCCCCAGGTTAGAATTGGGTGAGTTAATATAGCAGTATGCAGTATTTGCATTTTGGTATTTCAACAGTACTGAATTAAGTGAATTTAAGATTCCACATACAATTAATTCTCAGGGCACAGCACTCATCCTGTCACACTATCATATTCCAACCTACTGCATGGATAATTGGAATGAGATCTTACATGTGTCTTAAAGGCACAGTCTCACGCAAAAAGCAGTACAGTTACATACGTTTTCAAACTTTGAACTCACATGGGAAGTTTTTGTTGCTGCCCTGTTTTTAAGTAGGAGCTCAGCTTTGCTTTATTACATCAAGTCCACAGTCATCAAAAGGGCATTTTAATACACAGCCTGTAACCCACCCATCTATATAGAGCAGACAGGATAAAATCTGAAACTAAATCAGCTTGGATGGTGGTAACAGTCATGAAAATGACATTGTGATATTTTTCTTAGAATTTGTGAAGGGTATGTTGCTGCTGTTATACAATCTTACTGAAGCCATAATAACTGAAATGACAGCTGTGCAACTGGATTGCCACAGTACACATCTGAACAACATCCAGAAGGATCAGAACTGCAAAATTCATGAATGAGGGTGTTTGAATAATTATCGGAATAAATAAACAAGCATCTAAAGACAAATGACAATATAGATAGATGGTTCACGCTAATGGTGTAAAAACACTTTTATCCTCTGGTAAGTACAAGGCAGTTGAACAAGCAGTCTCACCCTTACAGTGCGGGACACTTGGTTGCTGTGGAGAAGCTAATACACCACAGCTTTCACCACAGTGAAGGGGTACCCATTCCGTAGGTACAAAATTAGTACAGACCAGCATGCAGCCCTAAATTCAGATGGTTTTGAAATTCATGATGCGGAACATATGTACAACAAAAGGACACACAGAAGGAGTAAAAAAAGTGCGCACACACATATTGATTGGAGAACTACGTGGACATGGAAGCATTTACCCACAAAGCCACTGAGAAGAATGTCTTTGGCCTTAAGCCAGCACAAGAGCCCCTTTGAAGCAAAGTACACGAGTAAGTTTTCTCCATTCCTACAGTACCGGATACCAACTCATTAAGAAACCCATTAACATCAACTTTTTTCTCTAATAAAGTGTATTCATAATTGCTCCTTGTTGTATGGTAAATATTTACCGGAAAGTGTACATTTGTAGCATGCTTTTCCTCTTAAATTTGCAAATAACATAAAATTTTCTAACATATGTTATTCGTCTACATATATACATTCATAATTGCCATTTGCAAGTGGAATAAATCACTGTAATTTTTTTAATTATTTAACAGGTTTATTTCTACATATTATGGCTTAAAAGCAGGTACTGTTGATACAAAAATCTAAAGAGACTGATGTGCAGCATGTCATTTCTTTATGTTGTCTTCGTGGATAGGTTATTAATTTCAGTGGGTATTCATCATATTTTTCATAGCAGCAATAAATAGGCATTTTAATTTTCATAAAACATTATTTTAGATAGCACATTTATCAATACAAAATTAACTTTTCACAGCACTAGAGTAACATAACCCATAGGCCATTACAGGTTCATCATGGAATTTGAAAATTTAATACTGGATCTGTGTGCCACCCTAAGACTGAGTGATTTGCAGGGTCTCCAACATGTCTTCCACTGCCTTCAAAGAGTATTTAGTTTCTTTCTTACTGCGACCTGCAAACTAAACAACAACAAAAAAGGATTGTTATTTGTCATATATCAGAAATTCTGTGCATAATTCCTGTACAAATAACAGTTCTAAACATTAAGTACCAAAAATTTACTCTAATTACTACAAACCTAAAAAGCACAGCCTCTTTATCGCTTCACTAAAACTCAGCATTTTACTAGAATACAACCTAGATCACCCTTCCTCTAATAAGTAATGAAAAATACAACAGAACTCATCAATTTCACCCATTTGCTCTGAAACTGACTATTCAGCACTAACAAATATTCCACTTTGAAATTTAACATTTATCTAAATAGAGATCTCCCTGTTGTTTTGTTTGCTCAGTAAAGTTCAACATAAAAAATTCAAGTCTGAAATAAAAGTTATGTGATCCAAATTAGATTATATTCATAATTTAAATAGTAGCAAGATTTGGACCTGTTATTTAAGCTAACCTATTTTCTATTTTTGGTTTAGTGAGACGATCTACTATAAAATAATCCAGTATCATATAATTATATTTTATGGTTCAAAGTAACTGAGTCATGACCTTGTAGTTGATTGTAGCCTACTGTTACAACAGCAATTTCAGAGAGCATTTGAAATAAAGTCTGTCTTGATAACAAAAAAAGATACAGCTTAATAAATACTACTTATCGCTTTAGATAGCCCAAGACACAGGCAGCCAAGTTTAAGAAAGGAAGGGGTAGAAGTGTAGATGTTCATCACCCCACGCTGACCGCAAAAGGCTTTTTCTAACTGTACTGACAATTCCCATCACTCATCAGATTTATTGAGTAGGTTGGTCTTCAGCCAAACGAAGCTCTCAACCATTTTTAATATACCTGCATTAAAAAGTTTTGCATTTGGGGTTGGAAAGGGCAGTAAAGAAATTACAGAAGCAGTAACTATAACTTGCTGCTAGTAAAGTATCTTATTCTCTACCTAAATGTTAACAACTAAACACTCAATAAATTTTCAATTTAATATTTTTTATTTCAGTACCACTGGTGTCTCACATAGTTAGTCCTTGATTTATAATGTGTCCCTTCTCTCTTGTAATTAACTTAATTTAGCAAACTCTTCATGACCTGTTAAGAAAGATCAAGTCATCAAACCTAGGTAATATCACACCAGCAACAAGCTGCAGGACCTGTTAACCTGCTGTTGACCTCCAGGCTACAGTCTAACACTGGGATTCCCAATCAGTACCGAGTTCTTAAAAAAAATAGTTTCGGCACAGTAAATGAAACGCTATTTCAAATTAAGTAGTTAGGAGAATGAAATGTTGTTATTGCGACAACACCTTATAGTTAAGAGACATACTGAAAACACCGTACTTTCATATTTCCAGATGATGAACTGATATGCCATGTTTTGACTCTAGTAGTATGTATAAACCTATTCTTCAGGTTCTGCAGTTTCCATAGTGACCTGCAATAGTCAACTTCTGAGGAAAATCAAAGATTTCTTAACACTCTCCCAGGTGAGAGAAGTAATCTTGGATTTGCTTGGATCTGACTTAATACAACATCCCCTTTTGTGCACACTAAACAGGAATAGTCCCAGGCAAATATTTGGAGAGTCCAAATCCTTTCATAAAAACAAACAAATGAAAAAACAGAACTCAAAATCCTGGAGTGAAAAATTGTTTCAATTCAAAGCATTCAGAGATTTCAATAAAAAGCACAGAAGCCTGAGTATATTGTGGTCAAAAAGCACGCTTGGCAAGACACACAGAAAGCATGCAGAGGAAAGCTTCAAAATAAGAATTGTACTTATTTTACTTCTCTTCAGGGACACTGAAAGCAAAACTGACATAAGACATTAGTTTAAAAAATGTTACTTGCTAATTTCAAGAGTGGTTGCCTTCATGATACTGACGTGTACTTTAAGCTGAACAAATAAAACCAAACTCTGCGTCATAACAAACAGTGGTATACTTGGAAATGTAATCACTTCAAATTTGCCTTGACGAACAATTATTTTGTCTATTCTGCCATTACACAGCAATTTGACTGATTGAGCCGGAATCCATTTCTTAAAAATCATGATTTAATTTTCTGTTTCCCAAATGGTTTGTAACAAAATCACCTCTCCAACCATAAATAACATGTGGACTGTTAACACAGAAGAATTTAGCAATGTACCCAAGAAGCATGTATCTGGAAAATTACTATGAGTAGGATCACATTAAAGATTTTTGTAAGCATTAATCAAACTTGCCGGCCTCTGCTGAAACGCTTCTACCAGAGGACATGCTAAACCAATTACCTAATTGAAGAGCACTAGGTAGCCATATTTTGTTTCGATGTTAAAGCAACTGTGACTCATGTCCTCAGTCAGAACAGATACACATTCTTCACAGGGTCTGTCCAAAAAGAATAATCCAGTTTCCCAGTGACAAGACAAAGGTACACTCATAATAATAATAAATTTATAATAATTCTTTGAATAATGAGTACTTCTTTAAAATCTGAAATAAAAGATTAAATTTTATTTGCTTTGGTTTTTTTCAGCCAGTCAATTAAATTTAAGTGGCCTAGAGAATAATGACCTTTTTTTTCAGAGCATGTGTTAGCAGCCAGGAATTCCAGGTCCACACAGCAGCCCTAGCTACAAAACCTTTCCGTCTTCCTATGAAAGTTTACGTGTCTCCTAGATTAGGCACAGATGAGAAGTACTAATCAGCACGGAGGGTTACATATTTCACATCAAAATAAGTATATTAACCAGATGGAACATTAAATAGATGTACTTTTCAGAAAATTATTTAATTCTACTATTCTTTATCACCATTTTTCCTGTAAAGAAACTGCTGGACAGTCTAACCAACATTGGTGAAAGTAAGGTTTTCTCTTTACACCCAAAGATTGTTTCCTTTACATGACAATAAACTAAAAAGTTCCTCTGATTTCATACAGGAACGCACAGGAAAAGCAAAAATCAAGTGCCAAAGCAAACTGCCTGAATGAGAGGAGAAATCGAAAGAAGGAAACCAGTAAAAATATTTCAAGTAAATTGCATATAAAATAAAATAATAAAAAAAAAAGCAACTACAGCCAGTGCTGAATTTGAAAAAATAAAGGCAGTTTTCCAAAATTACTGAGCAAAATGCTGGTAATTCAAGTTCAAATCCAGCCCGAAAACGAGGAAAGATCTCACTGTAAGACAATAGCTCAAAAGTAACTTTTGGAATTAATAACTTCATATATTAAAGTCACAAATTCATATAATTTGTCTAGGCACCCAAGTCAGTATTCTAAATCTCGTCTTATTCTCTAGAACGTGAATACAGGAAAATTTGCATTTAACAGCATAAGAAGGTCCAACTAATAAAACAAGTCAATGCCAAACTCCACAAGCTCTTATTACACTTTACAAAGCGCTTTGGATAATGCAAGGAAAGTGGGGAGGATTTATAGAGATAACATAAGTATCTAGCTTAAATCCTGGCTAGACGACCCTTCATTAATGGAGGAATGCTGTAAGGGCTTCCACTGGCACAAGCGACCAAGGTTTCATCCTTTGGTCCAAAAGACGACAATTTCCAACCGCGCAACACGCTAACGGAGCAACAAATCAATACTGACTCATAGGGGAAACTGCCACCTACTACATCTCCAAACACCATTTGCTGTAGCAGTTGGATGTTGTAAGTCTCTGACATAAACACTGGAGTGGCCAAACCCTTCTGCAGTCATGTAACAATCTCGTAAGGGTTGGGCTGGGGCAGTCCTGTCCAGCTGTAGTCACTAGAGGTTCTTGTGGTACTTCTGTGAAGAGAAAGGGGGTGTCCACACCATTTGCTTATCAACTCCCAGCTTGAGCACTTACATTTTCTGTATAGCTAAATTCCCCCTATGATTCCAGTCAGATATGGTGTTCATCACTTTGTCCCAAACAGCTAAAAAGAGCAGCTGAAGTATGCAACATATCACAAAAGTATGAAGTCACAAAGAAGTTATGACATCTGTTTCAAATATACATTCGTTGTGTTAACGTGATCTCTTCTGGTAAGCATCAACCAAAAATGCTTAATGTAGGTTCCAAAACAGCTTCACAGAAACAGTGGAATTGCACTTTCCAGTATGTACTGGGTTTGCGATGCAAGGTTTTGGTAGTGGGGGGGCTACAGGGGTGGCTTCTGTGAGAAGCTGCTAGAAGCTGTCCCTATGTTCAACAGAGCCAATGCCAGCTGGCTCCAAGACAGACCCACTACTGGCCAAGGCTGAGCCCATCAGTGATGGTGGTAGCACCTCTGGGATAACATACTTAAGAAGGGGGAAAAAACTGCAGTGCAACAGCAGCGGAGAGAGGAGTGAGAATATGTGAGAAACAACTCTGCAGACACCAAGGTCAGTGAAGAAGGACGGGGAGAAGGTGCTCCAGGTGCCAGAGCAGAGATTCCCCTGCAGCCTGCGGTGAGGACCACGGTGAGGCAGGCTGTCACACTGCAGCCCATGGAGGTTAACGGTGGAACAGATATCCACTTGCAGCCCATGGAGGACTCCACGCCAGGGCAGGTGGATGCACCCAAAGGAGGTTGCGACCCTGTGGGAAGCCCATGCTGGAGCAGGGTCCTGGCAGGACCTGTGGACCCATGAAGAGAGGAGTCCATGCTGCAGCAGGTTTGCTGGCAGGACGTGTGACCCCATGGGGGACCCACACTGGAACAGCGTGTTCCTGAAGGACTGCACCCTGTGGAAGGGACCCACGCTGGAGCAGTTCATGAAGAACTGCAGCCTGTGGGAAGGATCCACGTTGGATAAGTTTGTGGAGGACTGTCTCTGTGGGAGGGACCCCACACTGGAGCAGAGGAAGAGTGTGAGGAGCCCTCCCCCCCTGAGGAGGAAGGAGTGGCACAGGCAAAGTGTGATGGACTGACTGTCCCTTTACTACAAGAAGGACATGGAGGTGTTGGAGTGCATCGAGAGAAGGGCTACAAAGCTGGTGAGGGGTCTGGAGGACAAGTCTTATGAGGAAAGACTGAGGGAACTGGGGTTGTTTAGCCTGGAGAAGAGGAGGCTGAGGGGAGAACTTATCACTCTCTACAACTACATGAAAGGAGGTTATAGAGAGGTAGGGGCTGACCTCTTCTCCCTAGTGACAAGTGATAGGACGAGAGGAAATGGATTCAAGTTATGTCAGGCAAGATTTAGATTGGATATTAGGAAACATTTTTTCACTGAAAGGATTATCAAACATTGCAATAGGCTGCCCAGGGAGGTGGTGGATTTGCCATCCCTGGAGGTGTTTAAAAAAAGGGTATATGTGGTCCATGGGGACATGGTTTAGAAGTGGTTTTGTTAGGTTAGGTTAATGGTTGGACTTGATGTCCTTAAAGGTCCCTTCAAACCGCAACAATTTTATGATTCTATGACTGCAACCCCCATCCCTGTCCCCCTGCGTCACTCGAGGAAGAGGTAGAGAAAACAGGAGTGCAGCTGAGCCTGGGAAGAAAGGAGAGATGAGGGGAAGGTGTTTTAAGATTTAGTTTTTATTTCTCATTATTCTACTCTGATTTTAACTCTACCCTACATTTCCCCAAGTTGAATCTGTTTTGCCAGTGACAGTAAAGTGTCCTTACCGTGATCCGTGAGCCTTTTGTATTTTCCCTCCCTTGTCCAGCTGAGGACGGGGAGTGAGTGGCTTTGGTGGGCACCTGGTGTCCAGCCAGGGTCAGCCCACCACACAGTAAAAAAAAACCCAACCAACCAACCAACCAACACCAACCAACCAAACAAACCCCCCCGCCAACACCACCAGTCCCAATACAAGTCATATTTTATTAGAGATATTGTGATGTTAATAGAAAGCCATGAGGAGAGAAAAGAAAGAGGGGGAAAAAAAGCAAGCTTATCTGGCTGAGTTAAGTAACTACAAACCATCATAATCTAACTTTCATTATATTTAGAACCAGCAGATGCCTATTTATAAATCTTAATCTTGGTCTGCCAGCATTCCACAGCCAACACTGGTTTTACCTTTCCATCCTGATGCACCCTGAAAGGGGCTGTTTCCCAGAAGTGCTAACAGGTCTCTACTGGTGCTCTGAATGGAAACTTCAGTCACAATAGCCACTTACAACATGTTCAAAATCCCTCTAATCTAAGCAGTTCATTTTATTAAGATATAAAAAAGGGAATAAAAGTTTTCACTCAAAATTCACACATCTTTTAAAACCCGTTTTGTTCTACCAACAGTGAATCCACTGTGTACTTTGTTCTTCAAGGGTTTGGGGTTTTTTTTTGTTTGTCTTTTTCTAAAAAATCCTGCAATACTTGTTTTTTTTCCATCAATATTGTGTTTACAAGTATGTCAGACATACTGAAGTCAAAAGAAGTCCTGCTTATTTATGGGAAATCAAAGTTGGTAATTCATACTCACCTTACTGTCATAAGCCCATAAATGATTTATTACCGAAAAGCAGGGAGTCATTTAAAGAGCAAAACAGGAAAAGAAACTTTAGGCACACAAGTATAAAATGCTTAATTATGTCCTCAGGGATACAATATTCTTCACTGTAAAGTACAGTGAGAAGCTACAGGACCAATCAGGGGAAATGGAAAATACTTCAGAAGTTGTAATACATCAAAAAAACATGTTAACCACAGAATCTGCACTCTTGGCAATGAACTGACAGACAGTGCATTAAGAAAACTGCATTGGCTATAAAAGAAAATCCTAATTTAATTCCATAATAGATGGAGATGGTCAAAAGGTCATTTCGTAATACTAACTGTGAAGCCGCAGCAGCGAAGAAAAAATGAAGTATTGGGTTCTGACACTGAAATACTACAGAAAGAAGGAATGGATATAAAAGTCTGTGCTTTTGCTCAGAAAAGGTTCTGGGGAGAGCTGGACAGCATGATGCTGATGTTCAGGACTACTTATACATAAACTTTGACTGGTAGATCATTAAGAATAGCTATAAGGGATTCAAATAGACACACTATGTTTGGGATGCACAGACAGTAGAACCTGTGAGCTAAAACCTGTTTTCATTCATAGTTATAGAAAAAATATAAAAGCTTATAATACAAAAGCAAGTATAGATGTTTATGTACAACTTTTCAAATAGCTGAAAAGACTCCTAATGACCTCAGTAAGCTTTGGCTGTTGACTACAAAGTCTACATTTTCGCAATTCAACAGGCATTTTTCTATAAAACTATGCAAAACCAACTTTAGTCACAATTACTAAGGTAATTATTAGGAACACCGTTAAATATGATTTTGAAAGGTCAGAATAAACTGAAGGAAAATAAAATTCTAGAATTTTCATTTGTTTTCTAGTAAAATAGAAGTAGATGACCAGGTCACTCTAAGAATGAAGACATACCAAGTTTTATAAAAATATTTAGCTGTAGAACTGAGTCTTGGAGGTCAAGACTACACTAGTGTACATTCAGTTCATGTTAGTAGAATAAACATCTGTTTAAAGCTACTAAGTAAATAATAATAATTAATAATTGTAAGATATCAACTTGATATTAATTAAGGCTTCCAGGAAATCAAACAGAAGTAGAACTCAAAAAATCCAAGCAAATTATACTGGTTTGCATGTCATATCTAACCTCTTAAACAGCAGCTGATAAAAGTGCAGAAAAGAAGTACAAAGCATGTTGACAGTACCATAAACCAATGATGTACTAACCTGGTATGCTCTATTTATTTGGTTAGCTGCCCAGCTGGCATATTTCATATTATCTTTTTTCATTTTTGCGCTTGCTTTTGGATTGGAAGCAATGTGGCTGGCAGACTAGGAATACAAAAATAAAAACAGTGTAACTATAAAACATATGCGCATGAAATAAACTGAGAGCATTCAGCACCTTTGCATTCAGAGCCCCATGAACAGTGATACAGGAAAAAGAGAAAACATCAGAACAGTTACTGGTAAACAGCATCCAATTAAGAATTAGCTAAACTTTTTAAACAATTGTTTGTTCTAATTAAAGCTCAACTAGACTTCAGTTCAGTCGTGTACCAAGTCAGGAACCAAACCTGGACATGATCAGTTAATCCAATTTGCTTTTCCTAAAGTAAGAGTTATGAATTTTCCCCATTCAATTGGTTACCAGAGATGATATAAAATACATCACTTGTGTGCCCAAACTGCCATTAAAAACATGACATTTTTCCCTGTGGCACGAGAAAACACATTTTAAAAGCAGGTAAGACTCTATACGTAAACTATGCCCATCTTCACTGGAAAAATAAAAAGAATTACTTAAGAACTGAACTCATCTTGAAGACTTTTCCAGTTACATAAACAAATCCACTTCACAAAGAATCATCGCTACTCCCTCCCAGAACATCTTTCTGAGTGCAAAAGTACTTGAAGGTAAAGAACCACAGAACCCTACTCTACCCCATCAATCAAGAACCTCCAAAGAAGATTTTAAAAAGGAGCATGGAAGCAAACATCTACATGCATACTACATTTCAAACTTAAAGAATGTTCCCTTACAGCTATTTCCCTGAAACTACCTTCAGAAATGGGAGAGAAGTGGGATTGTCAAAGAAGCAGCCTCCAAACACTCAGGAACACATTCTCTGCAGCCATGCCCACGTGAACTGAATTTGTGATCTAGTACAGGGTCAGGGTCCTAAGACGAGGCATCATTCTTTCTGGTTTCCTGAATTCACCTGACCGATTTCCTCAGTAGTTATAGCTGAAAGCCTTTGTGAAGAATTTACCAGGGTTATGGACATTCTTTGGGGGCTACAAACGCTGGGCGCGTCTGTCAAGTACCAAAGCAGCAGCCACAGCAAAAGCAGATCCCAAAGCCTGGAAACAGCATTACAAATAAGTGAGGAGCCAAAGGGCAGATACAGAAGCAGCGATGGCAAGCTCTGCTTGCGAAAACCACCTAGCGAAATGTGACAGCAGCCAACCGAGCAAAACTGAAGAACTGAAACAGAGCGTAAATGCATTTTTTGCAGTAATGAACTTACATTATGCAAATCAGGGTTTATGCGTATGACTTTCAGGCACTGCCAAAACAGAAAGTTTCTCAAATGCTTGGGTCATACTAGCTCCAGCTTGCTAGCCAGATCATCGTAGATAACAGGTTCTAAATCTACTTTACAGACTGCAAATAACAGGCAGGATGTAAGATCTGACAGGGGACAAGCCAAGATTGGCCATAATAAAGCCCCAGGCCTGTTCTAGAATCAATGCAGAAGTCTATGTACACACACCTTAAAAATCAGCTTAGGCTAATAAACAGATTTTCTATAAAACTTTCTCCTTAAAAGCTAAACGACCTAAGGATCAGCAAGGAGACAGTATCTTCTCCTTGAACGTACAATCACCAACCCAAAAGTCTCTGCAGATGGGCAAAGAAGATTAGGTCCAAGTCTCTTTTAGTCTTAAAGGTGATGCCTAACAAGTCCTTGAAAGGAAGCTCCTATTTCCTCATATTTACAGGAAGCCTCAAAGTTATTTGCCTGATAAACTACCCCCCGGCTCCCAAGAGACAAAAGGGTAGGCTAGAATTAAAAAAAAAAAAACCCACAAAAAACAAAACGTGGAACCTTTCTGGTTTTGCTCCTAAAAAGACCTTTTAAAAGAGCTAAAGGAAGATCTTCAATAGAGGTCTCAGTATCTTTGGAGAAACTGAAGAACTGGTGCCAGTACATGCTACCCAAAGTTACTGTATGCCACACTCAAGCCAACAATGCTGTGCAAGCTAAAGACTCATTTTGAACTTGAAAGCAGAAAGTTGTATTTAGGAACTGGAGTAGGAAAAACAAACTAAAAGAATCAGGCTGGTTAAAAAAAAATTAAAAAGAAAGAAAACGAAGCAGCCATCATACTGTGATGGCACTCTTCAGCAGTTCACCATCTTGTAGAGAGGCGTACGAATTTAAATCCCTTTTCAAAAAGTTACCTTCACGTGCCAATAATTATAATTCTTTGGAAAACATGGGCAAGACTGAAAGGTTAAGGGCACTTCAAGTAAGGAATACCTACTGGCATAAAATGGTCCATATTCAGTATTTAAAACTGTCAATAATCTGAGCTATTAAGTTAAACCAAAAGGGTAAAAAAATGAGCAAATGATAAAGGATAATACACATGCATAAAAACATATTCAAAATGATAACGTGGAAAGTAGAAAATCATGCTTACCATGTAAAGTCCAAACAAAGCTCTCATATTTCTGTTGTTGAGTTTTAGTGCTTGTGCAAAATACTTTCTTGATAGCTCAAGGTTTTCAAGCCCCCCTTGAGTGTATTTTACCTGTAAAAATTGTAAGCTCCTGAAACTTGCACATGTCATCCATACCTCAGGCATTCACTCTTGAAGCAAAGATATTATGAAACTTCACTTCAGGTTTGTTTCACATGATATTTCAAATCAGGTGAGTCCTACCAAAGGTCAAATACTGGCTTGGGAGAAATCTGAGCTCTTTTCAATACACACATTTTAAAACATTTAACTATAGAAGAAAAAAAAAGCCAGCATTCATTTAATTAAATTATTGCTACGAGAATTAAAACTGATTATGTTGCACCTATGCATACTTACAACCTTGGGATAGTCTCTTAAAAAAAGTAACACAACTTTAAACCTAAAGCTAAATTCTGACTGCTGTAAATCCATACTAACTCTCTGTTCCTTCAGCACAGCATTACACCAGTGAACAAAACAACACAATGCCTTTCATTAACTATTCAACTGCAAAATAGAGCACAAAGTTTAGAAGATTACTCCATTGTCTTTCTATTCATTTTGCCTGTTATTAGATCAACAAAAAGAGGGATAAATACTCAAAAGCCATGCTTCACAGTCTTTCTACCAGAAAGCTATTTAGACTTCCAAGTTTTAATGTTAACCCCATTTTATCTACATTAACAAAACAAATTAAATCCATTCTAAGCAGTTAACAGTATAATTTAGGGAAAAAAAAACCACCCATATCTGAAAAAAGAGTGCAAACGGCTAAAAACTTTGAGCTAAAACTTCTAAGGGCCCTCTCTTCCCCCCAGTGCTCTTTCAGGCAAAATTTCCTATGTGGATTGCAAGATCTGGCTCCACAATAACAGGCAATATATCATAACCTCCTAGGCAGCATTGTTGTGGACTTAATTTGAAAAGTGCATAAATGCTTCAACAAGAATAGCTCATTTAAAATGAATTTTTATCTTCAATAATTCCTGCCCTTACTCTTACATTTAGCTTAGTCACACTAAGTAAGAAAACACAGTTTTCTAACATGTTAAGTTCTATGAGATGTTAACATTCTCTGTGTACTCTCTTAAATCTCCTAGGGAAAAATTAAATAAAATATTTTTATTCCATTTTCACCACTTCAACAACATAAGAACAGAACATGTATTCAAACATAATTGATTTTTCTGAAAATACTTACTTCAGCGTACTGTTGACAGTATAAGTGGTTGTGTGGATTAGTCATCATAAGCTCCTCTAAGCAGAAGGCTGCCTTTGCATAGCTGAGGAATATAAAAACAATGACAAAATGAAACAGTGTATACAGCTCTTTGCTTCAGTTTCTTTACATCACAATAAAAAAAAAAAATCTTACTTTTCCCCCTATAATTTCACGTGATTCACAATTAAGAATTCTTTTTTATTTCTAAATGATGTTTGAAACCTCGAGTTACTATTTTTACATCATAGATAGTGAAAAATATACAAGATGTAATAGTCTTAGTATATATGGAACAGCTCATGGAAAGCAATTAATATACTGATTTCTTATTAATAAGTGCCATTTCTGATCAACAAGAGCGACGAGTAGAAACAGGTATTAGGTACTTAAAGACATTTGAACTCAGACTACAAAATAGCTCATTTTTTTCTACAAGAAAATTCAACTACCTGAGGATTCACAAACCAAGCTACAGATCAGAGCACTTACACTGTCACTTTTACCTGCACACAGTCAACCACAGAAAAAAAACATACTAAGAACAGTTCTAAAAATGAAACAGTTCAAATCTTTATATGAAAATAGCATCATACCAGTCCAGATGGGCAACAACTTATTGCAAAAGAAAAGGCTAGTACTTGTTCTTTAAATGAAAACTTTCAGAAAGAATTAAGATGTCAAGCGCAAAATGTAGGTTTATTTAATTATAAAAATCTTAGCTTCATAATTGTTCAACTAACAGAGTTTCCTGCATAATTTGCATGTTCTACAGATATGTGATAACACTGTTGCACAGAGTTTACATGACAGGGCTCCAAAATTCAGAGACGTAATTTTTGTAATGACAGCGTGGGTAGATATTTAAGATAGAGTAAAAACAATTTAGCAATTATGAGACAATATAAAACCATATAATCTAGAAAATCTTATTTCTTAAAATGAATATATTGTGATTTTCTCCTGTACACATTATGATAGTTGCATATGTATTTTAAACACAAATTTGGAGATAAAAGGATAGCCACCTCATTCTCCAAAAGCAGAAGCCACAGTCCTCAATAACGGAACAGAGCATAGAATTGAGGACTGTATAAACCTTGTACATCTACGTGTATTTATGAACAATGGTAACAGCATGGTGATTTCACAAGCAAGACTAAATTTGCAACACTGATAAAACAAGCAAGCTGATGAATTGTTTCATTTTTTTTTAAAATTAACTTTTAGTTGCTTTTCAGCAAAGATTCCAATTTTTTTCCCAAGATTTAGCCAAGATTCCAATTTTTTCATCAAAATAATAACAACAATGATGCTCATAAAAGTACAGTGAGCAGAGGCAATTTCTTTCTCAGGTCTTATTACATATTTTTGTAATAATGACTGTAGCAAAAAAAACCCAACCCAGTAGTGGAATATGTACCTTTGCACCACTCTGTCATTCACTTTTGTACTTCCAGACTCGACAAGTTTAAGTATCTTTCTAACCATTTCAAAAAAAATAGCTATTTTTTTGGAAAAGTGGCTGGCAAATTTCCCCAAACAAATGAAAATCTGGATATCAAAATTCTAGATTATTCCTTAAGTCAGCATTTGAAACCATTTAATCATTATTTTCTTTGAGAATGGGGTGGAAGAAGAGGTGATGGGGGAACAATTTTTTCATCACAGTGAGAATGGCTATTTCTTCCCTGAGAATGATTCTTTTACTACTCTCTAGAAAGGAAGGAAACAATGTGATATAATTCAGGCTGTGCTGAAGAACTAAAGAAGAGGAGGAAAAAAAGATACGCCTTTGGGTGGAGGTTAGAATTAATGCTGTGATATTAGAAATCTTGCACTAAGGCTTTGAGCTAATCCTCTCGCACTGGGATTTCCTCCTGTCACAACAGCAATAAAAAAAAAAGCTAACAAAAACATTAAATATCCAATAAGCAAGTTACTACAACATTCAGCATTCTTGATTGCACTGGGTTTTGTACCCAGGCGACCAAATGCCTCTAACTCTGGAACCATGTTTTGTTTTGGTTTTTTTTAAAGGTTACTTAAAAGTTCTTGCAGAGGTAGGCTAAAAGAAAATCAGAACATCAGGTGCTGTGATCAACTGATTTTAGAAGTAAAGAATTTAAAATCTGTAACTAGTAAAAAACATCACTTGAATGAAAAATTATGGGAAATAAGTGCTGTTCTCTGCTACACTCAAACCACTTCTTTTAAAATACTGGATTTAAAAAAATGATTGAAATGTACAGGTAATTAAGTAAACCATTTCTGTTTAAAATCAAATGCCTTCTTAAAGCATTTGGTAGTCAAATAAGGTTGGTAATTATTTCCTGTTGATGTTTGTTATATTGGAAATGAGACAGCATACTTTCTAACATTAGTCTTTCAAAAAAATCACTGAGGTCTTTGACTTACACAGAGTAGCTTTCAATTTAACCATTTTTACGTGGACTTAGCAAACAACTTACTCATGTTCATTGATGTAAAGTTCTGCAAGTTCATGCCAAGCTTCTTGGTCTCCAACAAATCTGTATAGAGAAGACAAGAGAGGAAAAAAGGAAAAAAAAGAAAGAATGTGCAAGGGATTCTGTAAATGACCAGCATGGAAGCAAAAGCGTAAATCAAATGCAAATTCCATTTTAATTAAAAAGATTTATCAGAATAGCAAAACACAATCTGTATTCTTGTAAGACACTCACTGTTCCAGATACTCATTCAGCTCTCGGATGGCCTCAAGATTTTTCCCCTGGGCTTTTCGAATGGCAATCTTACGCTTTCTTGCTGCCTATGGGTTGACATTAATAAAGGATTAGGGTCTCATAATTCCCTGGGTTTTTGTAAAGAAAGCAATTTGACTGTGCAAATTATTATCTCAATACCAGTGGAATTCCACTGCAGAGCAACTGCTAGGTTGAAGTTTATAAACATACCCTATGACATCCCACTGAGAGTTTGAAAACCTCTTCTTACAATCACATTATGTATGCTTTTCTTCAGAGGCACAAACTGTATGCATTATTTCATTCAAATAAATGACTGTCCAGATTCTGATAATTACAAAACAGCAGGGGATGCTAATCTTCAGCCATTCCAAAGACCCCCACCTTGTCATTCACAAGATCCGTAACTATAGAGGAGAGATGGTGACTGAGTCTTTTGGAATCTCACAGATGCATCTTGGTTGCCACTGTATAAATATGGCTTTCAGCCATTTTTAAAGATTCTTGTTAGAGCGCTGAATGCTATCTTTAATTAATGTTGAATACACACCAATTTCATAAACAAGTTTCTCATCATTCTTGGAGCGCCAAGTAGGCTCTTCAATGTGAAGGGAATACAAAACAGCCACTTCAATGGCAAAACTCAGCAGTACTTTGATACGTGAGTGGAAAATGTATTTCAACATAAACAACATAAAAACGAGTTATAAGAATTATAATGTATTTAAATTTTGAACTCCATAAAAGTTGTTACAGACCACCAGGAGAAAAGATACATAGAATTTTAATAGTGGATTATTCTGTACTTCAATCCAACAGTCCAGTTTCTGCAGTATGTTGGTTACAGTTCGCTGAAAGCAGTTTTCAGACCTCTAGGAATTGTGAATCAAGACACACTTGAGGTGTAATTCAAAACAACGGACATCCTCCCAGCAGTCCGACAGAGTTTGGAGCAAACAGAACTACACCTCAGCCAGCCTGAAAGTCATCACATCAGGAATATGACAGAATGAAAGTAAAACCAAATTCCAGCATAACATGCCTCAAAGAACAAACTCCATCAGCCTCCTGCCTTGCCTATAACCCCTCTTCTCCTGGGTGATCACAACCGCTGTCATCAGACACGAGAAGACAGATGGTCTGGTTTGTGTGATGTGTCTGCATGTACACACACACACTTATATGTCATTTCTCCATGAGATAATATTAATGGGGAAAAAAAGCACACTTTTCCAGTAACAAAGTCCCACTGCTTATTCCCCTTATAGCTCTCATCCCATAACATATCTTATAAAGAAGCAATACAGTTGGGTATCATCTTATGGAAGCCTTGACAGCACGGGAACAGACAACTTTCAACAAAACCTTAAAAGACTTTTTTTTGAATTTAAGATAGCTCTGAAATTAGTATCTTCACGAGGTACCTTCCTAAGATCACAGTCACATATACCCCAAAAAGAGTTCTTGTATTTTTACGGTATTTTAAATGTAACTATTCTCTTAAATAATTTCTTGTCCTTTCATAATCATTTGAACAAATCTATCACTTCTGGAAGAAGAGAGTGTAGCATTTAGGTAAACTAATTTAAGCTACCAAAACAGCATAGATAGAAAGGCTTCTAACACTAACTGTAGGTTTATTCTTTCCTTTGAGATCATTCCCTTTACACAAACACATAATCAATGAAAATTCAGTGAAAATTACACAAGTGAGGAAAAAATATTTCACTCTTCTGCTTAAATGCAGGACAGAGGCAGAGAAAAAATTCATCAGAATGATCAAGAGAGAAACTAGGATACGGGCAGCGTGGTGGGTTTACCCCCAGTCATTTTGTTTTCCACCGCTTCTTTGTCAAACTGCAACCTGTTACACTCATCATTCTGCTTTTACTGGGAGACATTTGGCTAAAAGCCATAACTGACTCTGGAAATGTTAACTGCTGACCACATTTATCACTATAACAATAATGTATACTGTTTATTTTATTTTTGAGTTTTTAAAATAAAGATAACTGTAATTAAACTTCTTTTTTTAAATATAAAAAGAATAATAAATAAATAATTTATCATATTGCTACTATTAATAAACAGAAAAACAAAACAAAAACAAACCCAAACCATTGCTCTATATCATATTTTATGAAGAGGTCTCAAAGCATTTTGTAAAGCTATGGTGGGAACATCGGGGCAGCGTTAAACTCACTCCCCAAAGCTGATATTACACACAGTCCAGTGACCTGCCCACTGAGCCTGAAACGTGAAAGAAAGGGAACTGGGGATAACAGCGTGCACAGCCAAAGGAGCATATCATGCAATTACGGCTTACCAAGACAGCATGTTTTTTGCAGGTGACAGACTATCTATTTTAAAATGTAGGTTTTGGATTAAAAATTCAGCTGTTATTTTTAAAATTTAACGAAAAAACCAAACCAATCAAGAGACTGAACTAATCAAAACTAAACGGCTTGAGAAATGAAATCATCTGTTTAATATATAAAATCAAACAGTGCATCTGACAACTTAATTTGCAATGGCAAACAGGAACAGTCTACAGAAGTCACCCTCCTTTTTTGTTCCTACTCCATCTCCTTCAATCGCATGCAAGTTAGTCCTCCAAAAGAGTCCGGAAACACATTTTCTCCATGCTTGCTTTATTTCTTAACCACAGCACTCGCAAATAACATAAATCACTGTAACCTCAGGACACGAATTTATGAAAAGCTACAACTATTTCTAGTCACAAACTGAAACTGATGTTTACCTACAACAAGCACATCATCTAATGCAATCAAATAATGAGGATAAAAGGATTAGACATAATTAACATGTTCTGATGGTAGCCCTTAGGAGTAAAATTACTTACATATACATTTGACAAGGTTTATTTGCTTTTAAACTGCACCAAATCCCTCGATATTTCTTCAAAATGAACTTTTGCTTTCCTATTTGAGAAAAGTAGAATTTAAAACTTCCTTTTTTATCCACCTTCCCTATCACCAAAAAGAAAGCAACATCTGGGCTTTAAAACTGCACTCTCTTCACCCTGAAATAGACCTTCAAAATGCTGCGATAAGTTAGTTTATTTACAGAGAACTCTTAGTTTACAAAAAAGAGTCTCAGACACTCAAAACAGTGCTGACATTCAAAGGATAAACAAAATGTCGTGTAGTATTTTAAAGTATACACAGAATTTTTGAAAGTCCCTTTAAAACCACTGAGAAGTCGTCTCAGGAGTTTTTTAAAGTAACTACTAACATTTTACAATCAGATAAATAAAATTATAAGACACATATTCTGAATGTTTGTGTGTTCAAGCATACACAGAGGTGAATCTGAAGTATTCAAATCCGTGAATCCTAGGAGTGATAAGACAGTCTAAAAAATAAAGAAATTAAAACTAACTATTATTGCTTTAATCTGTATTCAGAGATTACTCTCCCAAGAGATTACTCTCCCATCTGACTTTCTAGCTTTTCCTTGGATCACGAAGACTATCAATTATGTTGGGTTTTTAAAAAAAAAAAAACACAACTGAAAGTCAATATGACTTCAATCGTCAATGCTGTAAGAAAAATATACATGAAAAGGCCTGCACTAAAGACAGCACATGGGCCATTTTGTGTGCCATAAATTTCTAATTCTTATTCTGATTTGCATTGTCCCTGAGCCCCTGTCTAGCTCCCTGCGTGTATCAGCTTCCTCCTCCGTGAGCTGGGGCTCACACTCAGTGTGCTCACTGAGCATCCTGAGGAAAGCGGCATAACCATCTACAACTCACAAACACAGCATCTATTTTTCTTTACTCCCATCAAATTAAACAAAACATTTTACTGCACAGAACCAATGCCAACACTAAGAACCACTTTACCAGACAAAAACTAGTTATTTTATAAGGAAAGGCAGACTCCCACCAATTCTACAGAAGCTTTACCTAGCATTTATTTCATACATCCAATTTATTACCAATTTATCAGCTGATATAAGAAAACCAGGACATTTTGTATGTTTTATTGTGTTTCAGGGCTTTGTTTATTAAAAATCTCACATTTCAAAATATAAGCTCATTTTTAAGGGACGTAGCGCAAGATATTACAAAACTGCAGAAGGCAGAGTACAAATCTGTTCAATCACTAATTTCAAGTCCCCTAAGAATAGTCACGAGAAATTTATTTTTAGCTACAAGATTTGAGACTATTTTGAAATCTATGAAGCATATTAAAATTGTTGTGATAATTCTGTTAACAAAGAAAAGTAACATTCAAGAGTTACATTCCAGCTCTTCGCATCACAACAGTAAGATTTTTAAGAATAAGCCTGATGCAAAAGCAAACTCAACCTCCTTTCTCCTTCCACCTTAAATCAAAAAGAAAAGATAAAAATTTCACTGCTGCAACAAGATCTGCAGTGTTTGACCATGCAGAACCTACGACATGGAATTCCCCCTATTAATTTTCCAGAGTTTAAAACAAAACGCTGGAATGGTTACTGGCAGATTCTGTAAATCCAGTGTTCTTAATGGAAAGATATATGCCATCTTAAAGAAACATTTATACTGTAATCAGTATCATATGGACTAAGGTACTTCAATATGTCATATATTTATTAAACAGTGAACCTTTCCAAGCTATTTCTTTTAAAGATTAATAATCCCCAATCTGGCACAAGAACTAATCCTCCGCTTGTCATGATTCTTTTTAATTAGCATTTAGTAGACTGAAAGTGAAGTGAGGGTTTGAACATTTATCAACTTCTGCATTTGATTAGTAAAACATACCAAGGGAGAGTCTAAGATTGTTCTAAATTTCATGGTTGCAGAGAAAGTATTAGTAGGAGAATTTTTAGGGACTGACACCTCTAAGAAAAGAAGAATTTCATGTCTGTATAATTGCTGCAGCATTAAACAAATTATATTTTGCACCTTAAAATTAAATTCTTCATTTTTTTTAAATTTGTTTTTATCAAGGACTTAACATTATAGAACGTGTGAATTGGGTCTTAAGAGTTTGACACATTAAAATAATTTCCTTCAAATTGCAATATGTAAATCAAAACAAGTGTAAACAAC